TCTATCAACTACTGCTTACAGAAGATGGTGAGGGAGAGTGGAGAACACTGGATCGATCATACATGAACCAGAAGAAAGGATAAAAAAGGAATGAAAGGAAGCTTTAAGCACTATTGAGGTGGAGACACTGTGCCATGGGTCACAATAATGAACACAAATATGAATCATTTCTCGGCCCCGAAGAGCATCACGTTTCTCTAAGAAAGTCACAAATATATAAAGTATGACAATATTACAAAACTGTATGTAAAATGCTTCTAATAATGTAGCTTTTCCACTTTTCCAAAGGATATTTCAAAGTATTAAAATTGCACAACAACAACAACAAAAGAGTATTTCATTTTAATTTTGTCAATTGTTAGACAAACATGATTAAGCTGTTCCAAGCAAAGGTTGAAAGAAGACAAAATAGTTATCTAAGCCTCCTCTTGGAACATGACTCAACAACATTTCTTACTGAGGATCATTTAGAAACATGAAACACAAAAGTTCATTTGTTTTGTTTGACCCATTATTTGTTAATGTATTTCCACCCTTAAATCTGCAGTAGATTTTTCAGTGATGTGAACTCAAAGCCAAGCATAATTAGAACTTGAAAGGCCGGTCCAGACAAGAACAGAGCCTGTGATTAAAACCTCCCATGTCGACAGAAATCCCACATTCCTGACAATTAAACTTCTATTCATCCACATCAAGCCCATGCCCACTTTCAGACAGTTAAGACCATCTGAGAATAGTTGGATTTACAGACACTGATCATGAATGGATGAACTAAGTGTCAAATTATTCAATATTTGTCACATTTACTTACCGTTTTTCTCATCAAACACACCCACAGTGAATTTTCCTCTGCTTCACATGGAATGTCTCAGAGACATCAGTCTGGTGGCACCGGAAAAGCTCTGTTCTGGCTGTTAATAGACAGTGTGTGGTCATGCCTGTCTATTTGTGTATCCTTGAATGCTCAAGGCTGTGTGAACCATCATTTATGTGAATGTTCCTTTTGACAACAAATAAAGCACAATGCAAGGCCTTTCCTCCCTAACACACTTTATTTATCAAACCTTATTACACATGTGTTGTTGCATCTGTGTGGAGAAAACCTGCTCTCATCAATGATGGGTGAAGTGGCTCGTTGGTTGTTCAACCTTGGTCTTTTTAAAAAGCAATAAAGGAGTTCAGTTTAAATGTTCTGATTCTATTTTCCCATAAGTCTAAAATATCTGAGGTTAAACACACAGAAACGGGTCCCCGGGCATAACTTTTCAGTTTGAACACCCATCATTACCATCTCTACTTTGGGAAAATAATAAGAATAATAATAATAAATTAACTTTTTGGGTTTCAGAGAGATTTCAAAGCTTTATTCTACCACACAATCACAATTAAAACTATTATAAAACAAGATGGAAACACTGAACAGTAGTGGATGTATTGAACGAGAGTAATTATTGAAGAGCAGTGAACTCTAAATGAGCAGGTGGACTGCCTCTGTCAGGTGATGAAGTATACTTGTAATTATGGTAAAATAAAGGTTCATTATCATGTATCATCATGACAGGCGTATTGGATGGAAGTGTCCTGTACTTGTTTTAAGCTGTTCTTTTGCAATATGCCATTTCTTTCTAAACATTTTCTTTTGCGTTCTTTTGCGTGATTGCGTTTGAGAGTAACGAGAGTTTCAAAACAATTCAGTGGCACTGTCTGTGTTAATGCTGCCACCAGCTGGAGAGACTTGGTAGTTCAGTGAACCTGAGAAGCTGGTGGAAAGTCTTGAGTGAGACTCTTCGTCGTCAGCAGCAGAGGTCACTAGAATACTAAACCATAAGGATAAATGCAGTTTTGCGGTAAAATATTAATAGTAATTATTTTTTTATTTTTTTATTTTTGTCAACCAAATAAAGTATGACCAGAAACCAATGAAAAGAGCAAAATAGTATCACAAAGAGGACCCCCTCTAGTCACATGACTGTGCCAGTATATTTATTTATTAATTTATGTACTTAATTAGCTACATTAAGTAAATAAAATATGGGAACCAAAATTAATCTATTTTATTGTTTACATGTACATTACCGGTGAAGAATTTGGGGTCAGTAAGATTATTTATTTATTAAAGAATTTAATACTTTTAAAAAATTCAGCTGAGATGCATTATATTGACAAAGTGACTGTAAAGACGTCGTTACAGAAAGGTTCTAGCTATTTCAAATAAATGCTGTTCTTTTGAACTTTCTATTCAATTAAAAAATCCTAAAAAATGTATCACGGTTTCCACAAAAATGATAAGCAGCCCAACTGTTTTTTTTTTTTAGCGTTGATAATAATAAGTAGTAGATAACAAGTATAATAAGATAATAGCATGTAGTGTAAACACTGAAAACAAATCCAATGTTTTTTGAGTAATCTTAATGTAGTTGGAAGAACAATAGCGCAAGGGACAATAACGGTATGAATTCATGTATTTTTGGCGTATTTTGTATTTGGTCACCATGCTAGTTTTTTGTCAGAGAATGAACTCTGAAAACTGCGTTTCTATTGAGTGGTCGGTAGAGGGCGCTGTACAGTCCATCTGCACTGCTATGGCCCATGCCAGACGGCAGCGTATGGTGGATCATTGAACGCATGCAAACATTTCCTGATCTTGGAATTCGGCAACTGTGAGTCACTATTTCCCTAACTGTTTTTGCTCAAACATTTCATCTTCTGCGGTGGTTACTCTAGTCCATAGCAACGGTATTTTGTGGGGTGCTTATGAATAGAATGATTTCTATGTTCATTCTCAATGCATGACTCATCAGTTTTAACAACCTGTAATTTTACACAAATATATCCTAGTTGATTCCAGGGTGTTCTCTTCTTTAGACCTGATTTAGTCATTTGGAGTGCAGTAGAAAGTGTATGGTGTGTGTTATGTAATATTGTGATTTAACGTTACAGGTAATCACAATGTCCTTGATGACTTTTTAAAATAATCTGAAAATTATATGAATGCTATGTAATTTTAAGAAGGTTTTAGTAGTGTAATGCGACCCAAGTGAGTGTGTCGGAATTCCATGTTGTGAAAACATTCTGGATGAAACCTGTCATGTCTTGTATTTTGCTAAATGTGTCCTAAATCTCCACCCTTTGACCTCCCAAGTCATGTTCTTGAGACCCTCACCAGCAGATCTCAACAGAATTCCACAAAAATCTGCAGGTTTTCCCTAACAAAACTGCATCAAAGTCTGCAGATTTTATCTGGGTATACTTGTGTCATGACTTCCCAGCAGTTCCCACAGATTTTTGAGATAGCACTCGGGATGGAGAGACATTTGCCCTGGGGAATCTCATTGTTATATTGGAATGCGGTGGTTGTGTGTAATAATGCGACGAGGATGGCAGAGAAAGAGAGACAACAGGAGAAAGGAAAGTGCAGAACAGACAGGCTCATCCTGCAGATTTACACAGCTCTCTGTGTTCTGGCATCTGCTGGGACTTTTCCACTGATCTGCCCATGCGCTTGTGCCAGGATTGTCTGCTTTTTTTCTTTTCATTTTTGCTGTCTCTCATGCCATCTTGCCTCACGATGCTGTTTCTAGAAGAGTTTTTGTGCACAAATAAATAGGACCCTAAATTATTAGTATGCATAGATATACATGTTGTAATATGCATACTGACGGTACATTCACACGTTAGGGCTGTGCAGAAGTGTTATTTTAGTATTATTTATAGTATTTATTAATATTTTGGATTCGCTTTTATTTTTATATTTTCAGTTTTCATTTAAATTTTAGTTTAAGTTTTAGTAATTTTGTTATGTGCGTTTGTAATTTTTATTAATTTTTTCAGTATTTCTATTTAGCCTTAATTTATATTTATTTCAGTTTTAGTAATTTTAGTAATTCACCTTAAACTTATTTTATTTTAGTTAGTTTAATTTGATCTAATATTAGTATTTTACTTCAGCTTCATTTCAATTAACAAAAAGGATTTTAAATAGTTTTAGTTAACAATACTCTCAGAAAAAAGGTACGAAATCTGTCACTGGGCCGGTACACCTTTGTACCTTATTTACCACTAAAGGTGCATAAGTACCTTAAAGGTGCATATTAGTACACCTTTTGAAAAGATACTGCCCCAGTGACAGCTTTTGTACCTTTTTTCTGAGGGTGAATAACATTGATGTGCAGGTTTGATCCTGAACCCTAATATGCACCAAAGAGTTGATGAAAGGTGACTAGTTAGTGGTGTTTAAGTGAACTGAAGCACAGGCTTCCTTCCCATAAAGGATTCATCTAATCCACTCTCATCTCTCTCTCTTTCTCTCTCTCTCTCTCTCTCTCTCTCTCTCTCTCTCTCTCTCTCTCTCTCTCTCTCTCTCTCTCTCTCTCTCTCTCTCTCTCTCTCTCTCTCTCTCTCTCTCTCTCTCTCTCTCTCTCTCTCTCTCTCTCTCTCTCTCTCTCTCTCTCTCTCTCTCTCTCTCTCTCTCTCTCTCTCTCTCTCTCTCTCTCTCTCTCTCTCTCTCTCTCTCTCTCTCTCTCTCTCTCTCTCTCTCTCTCTCTCTCTCTCTCTCTCTCTCTCTCTCTCTCTCTCTCTCTCTCTCTCTCTCCTTTTACTAAGACACCTGATTGGATAATTTTTAGTATGTCCACCCCTCCGAAATAAATACCAGGCAGAGTTTTGAATATAAGGCTGTTTTCTGTGACTTTCCCCTTTAAAACTTCATGCAACAGCAAATGGATGTATTCTGGGTTTCTAGGATGGACGTATTTTCCTTGGCTCATATGTTTGGATAAGTAGATCTTTGGAGAACTCTATGGACTAACTTTAATTAATTATGTGAAAATATCGATTCGATTTTTTACTTATTTAATTTATTTATTTAAATATTTTATTATAATTTTTTTTTGTTTTATTGGCTTTGGGTCAGACATTATTTTATTTTATTATATATTTTATTTTATTTTATTTAGTTTTGCTGTGGATTAGCTATTAGAAAGGAAGGGATTTACTTTACTGTCATTTAGATTGCTTATCTCACAAGTTACAGATTATATAATAAAATGATACGCCGAGATGCTTCTGTGACAATGTGAAATACAGTAAAAGCTCTATTCCCTTGTGTGGGTCTTCTTCACTAGCTCCGGCCCCCTTTCCCTCACTTGCTCTTCTGCTCCTCCTCCTCTCTCGTCCCTGAGAGGCGTGAGTTTCTGCCAGAGACTAAGAGCGCGAGTCAGACCAGACACTTTCTCTGCAGAGTTTCAACGGGACACAGCAGCCGTAGAAGCCTTCAGTAACCCAAACTCTCTCTTAACTTTACCAGGTCAGTGATTCAGGCATTTTGACTAGCAGTACTGCAAACTGTGAATGCTCAGGGCCCAAATATATTTTTAATTAGTGTTTTTCTTTAGCTTTTTTTTTTTTAGCATTGCACAGTAAAAGATAGGTCACTCCTGTAATTGTGTCTAGGGGGAGTGTCACATGTGCCGTCTAAGCACAATGTAATGTTTGGAATTACTTCAACGTTCCAAAACAAACGTAATCAGAGCTCCTGTGGATGGGACTTTGACATGCGTGTCTGTGCTGGTTGTGTTTAAAGTGTGTCCAAATTTGTGTCTATCTTGTCCAAGGTAAGTTACAGTGAATGCATTCTAAACCAGTCTGACGTTTAGATCTAAACCAGATTAGTCTATTTAGAAGTGAGCGTGTTAGAGATTTGAACTAAATGCTTATTCTGGGAAGTTTGTGCTGAATATACTTGAATGTGATCAGAGGTTGGGCGTGGCAGAAACAGTAAGACACAAAGTGAAGGAGAGGGATGGTTGGAACGGAAAGGAGGGCTGGAGTTTATAATTTGCATATATTTATTTTTTTGTAACCATAAATATATTGCATATCAGTTTCAAACTGTTGGACTGTGACTGTAAAAGATTCCTCAACGTATCACCTCTGAAATATGTCTCTCCCATTCTATTCTATTCTATTCTATTCCCTGTACAGTTTCAGGCTAGCAGCAGCCGTTCCAGTCAGCTATGGAGACTCCAGGTCAGAAACGAAACACCCGCGGAGGGACAACCACCGTTCTTTCTCCCAACCGTATCACTCGGCTGCAGGAGAAAGAAGATCTATGCAACCTGAACGACCGACTGGCGGTCTACATCGATAAGGTGCGCTCTCTAGAGGTGGAGAACGCAGGTCTGCGTATGCGCATCACAGAGTCGGAGACGGAGATCAGCCGCGAGCTGAGCGGCATGAAAGCGGCGTATGAGGCTGAGCTGGCGGACGCTAGGAAGACTCTGGACTCGGTGGCCAAAGAACGAGCCCGACTGCAACTGGAGCTCAGCAAGGTGCGAGAGGACTACAAGGAGCTGAAGGCCAGGTATGTGTGCAGATCATGGTTTACACGTCATGCGTGTCATTCTAAAACCATATGACTTAATTTGCACTTTTTGAAGTTTAAAATCTCCATTGATTTTTGTTCATTTTTGGACGAACAAGGCCTTTACAACTGGTACCATTTTCGGATAAACTCAATCGTGACATGTGCCAGAGCTCACGATGTTCCGACCTTCAGAATCGCACCGTGTACGCCTGCCTTAAGCCAGTGCTATTGCAGTAAGTAAATCCAAGTCTGGAGTCCGCAGTAGCAATTACCATGACTCATTCCACCCAGGAACCTACAAAAATTCCACCAGGTTTAGTTTCTAAATGGTGCGGCTTACAGATCATAAATCAGTGACACAGAAGAGCTGCAGACACTAATACGAGGGCTTGCCCTCTTTTCCTGTAATTCCTTCCACACATCCAAGAGATAAGTTTAACTCTAAAATGCAGAACGGTGCCGACCCCTGGGCTCTCAGCCTAGTCCTCAGCTAAATTTACCTGAAACATGACGGCAGTTTTCTGCAGTTTACATCTGCTTATTGCTCCTGTCACTAAGGCTGACAGCTCAGTGCTTTAGTCTGTTTGAAGCATTTTAAAATTCAATTATAATAATTAATTAATTAAAACGGAAAACAAATCTACATTGTACAGTATTATGACAGCGATTTTAAACCTTGTGGTTTGGGGTCGGCGAGTCTCTTTGTGCTCACCAAAGCTGAGTTTATTTGAACAATAATACAGTAATACTATGAAAATTTAAAACCTTAATTGTTTTAATTTAAATGTAAACTATTTAAAATAACTGTTTTCTCTATTATTAATCAATGGTTTTAATATATTTTCAAATGTAATTTATTCCTGTGATTGCAAGGCGGAATTTTCAGAATTTTGCTCATATTAAAATTTTATTATGGTGTATTATTATCAATGCAATTAACATTTTATTATGTTAATATTATTATCAATGTAATATTTATTATTATCAATGTTTAAAGCAGCTTTTGCTGCTTAATATTTTTGTGGAAACCATGATACATTTTTTTTCAGGATTCTTTGATGAATAAAAAAAGTTTAAGAGAACAGCGTTTATTTAAAAATTGTAACATTATAAATGTATTTACTGTCACTTTTCATCAGTTTAAAGTTCAAAAGTCTTCAAAAATCAAATCTCACTGACCCCAAATTTCGAAACAGTAGTGTACATACCCACACACACCGCCTCTGGCTCGGTCAGTAGAGGTCTGCTGCAGCTCATGTATGTGAGGTGTGAATGTGGGTGTGTTGCATCTTCTTGGGAAATGGCTGTTGGATTGGCCACCGCACCCTTTACAACAGGTTTAGTGTGTCTGTTTCTTGTTTGAATTCACATTACATTTTATAGTTCCTTTGTCTTCTGCGGAAATGCTGCTGCTTGTGTAAACGTTTTACAGTGATTAACATAAATAGATAACATCTTTGCTATGTGTAGGTTTAGCCAATAAGACAGTGGACATGTATTAATATTTTTTTTGCACTGCATTGTGTGGATTAATGATTAATTTGATCCAAAGTGTGTCTTTGGAAGTCTCCCTCCAGTAGAATGTCACATATCTACAGAATAATGATGTGAATTAGCGATGCATGATGAGATTGATATAAATTTTTTAAATAAAAAATTCTAAATAAATAAATAAAAATAATACAATAAAATGTCATGAAAGTATTCATTTTTAATGGTACAAATGGATTTAGGCATCATGACATTATAATTAGGGATGTTCATTTCGGTTATTTTTCCTAACGGACAACCGACGCTCATTAACCGATTGTTAACCATTAACCGACAAGATTATTTAAAATTAGAATTGAATTAAATTAGAAAGGATAAGTGTCTGTGACCCGTTAAAAAATACTAACTTTTGTTTCCCGGGGATACATTTTACATGCGCAAAAAGCAGCAAACAACAGAACATGAGGATTCACATGGTCATCATATATGCACCTGCAGCGCTTCTGCGAGCGGTAGCCTATAGCCTATATAACGAATAAACAGGCCTATACGAGAAACATATTTTTACTTAATAAATTAAGAAAATGAAAGAAAAACTGTGCAACAAGTAGCCTAGTATGCAGAGTTTCGGTTCATTTACGTGCTGCACGAAAGGAAACAGACAGAAAGCGACATCCTATTTTTCTTTAGGCTTATTTTACAAAAGCACAAAGATTTGTTTTTATTGTGAATGTACACAAATAAAGGCAAACCTTTTACAATTCTGATTATCTTTGACTAAAAGGAGTAGTTGCTTCCACTGTTAGAAGGAAAAAATTCAAGTGATTGCGCCGGTGCCGCATGCGCGCACACAGTTAAGCATCGCTACCTTGACAAAAATATGAATTGCCTGTTCATTATCATAATAAAATACAGTCAGTCAAACATATGGAAAAAAACACACTGCTCAGTTTAAAAATGTAGTAAATTCTGTGCCGTTAAGTGTTATCACAGTACCGCCGTGATGTTATGGAAAACATTTTGTTTTACGTGGATATTGGAACGCGAATGAAGTACATAATAAATAATAATTTGCCATTCAAATACATCGCGAATACGGAAACATTTGATTTTGTGTGGAATGAGAGACCAACGTTGGTTTCAGTTTAGTTTTAGCCTAAATTAATTCGTTTTGGCCTGTCGTTTATATTGCTATAGCTTCTTACATTTTTAATTCTTGTTCTTTTCTAAATACTGTTAGTTGAAAGGATTTGTTGTGGAGTGAGGGGAACTAAAATAGCCTAGCTATGTTTACAGTGTTTATTATAATGTTTGTAAACATTTCGCGTCGGCATTAGGCCTATTTCTGAATGAAATAAAAAATGCGACTTATACGCGACTTGTTTTTTCCCCCCTAAAAAACACATTTTTTTATACGCGTAGCGTATTTTAACCATGCAGCAAACCTTTTAAAATATTTTACTGAAAAAATAAATAATTAAATGACTTTTTAAACGGTTTAACTGATTGTATTAATCTGTCAAAATTCTTACGGTCGGTTAACTGGGTAAACGGTTAAAATGAACATCCCTAATTATAATGTAAAGTATGAAAAATAAATAATCATTTTGAGATTTGCTAAAGATTACATTTAAAAGTGTTGAAGATTAACTTAAAGTAAGCGGTAGATGACAGCAAAAGTAATCTAAAAATGTTGAATATTGGTTGATAAATTATATTGTCAGTCTTCAATATTAAATGTAATATTTTGTCAATTTTAATTTTTTGTAAATTTCTGTATTTATTGTCAAACATAGTTTGGCAATAACTAATCACATTATGTAAGAGAAAAGATCCTCGCAATAAAACTAAGAAACAACAACTACGCATCATAAAATCTAGTAACTTAATTATCATGCTTTTGTCCTTTGCACTTGAACTCCCTCATATCCGAGTACTTTAAAGACATCCAAACTCCACAGAGGAACCATCTCAAACTATTCAACACCACTAAAAAAAAAGTTTGTAGATGCTTATAGTTTATTAAGAAGCGTTGTGATCTAGTTGTCATTGAGTCACAGTGATTGTTATTATAATCTATTGTTTATCTTGCTGTCTCTATGGTAGTAGACTTAGTCAGTGCGTTGGTTTAGGCAAGAGGTTTGTTGATCCCAAAAAGGTGTGGTTCAAAGACAAATAGATATCAAGGCTGAAGATGCGCCTTCACTGAATGATGCCAGACAAGTTGAGAGTTTAGTGAAAGCCAATATGAGTCATTTTCATTCATTTTATAAGGTTTGTGGTCATATTCATTTCATAAGCTTTGTGGTTATACACATGGGGGAAGTCAGCAAAAGGAGATAGTCTTATTTGTGTCCCAGGGTTACAGTAGCCCTCATGAGTTCCTGTAAGCGTCCATCACTCGGTTAATGCAGACTGACTCGTACATTCATTGGAGCTGAGCTGTTTGGAAGTGTTTGGTTTCCACAGCAACCATGCAACCTTGCCAGGGTGTGTGAGAGGTTCTGACTGGACTGAGTGGTGACTCATGAGCTTTAAGTAACTGCGGAAAGCACTGTTCAATCTGACTTTAACCCCTCACCTCAGTGAGAAAGCCCTATGTTCATGTTGGAACGGTAGCCTTATTTTATTCCAGTGAGTTTGAAACATTTGCTTTACACTTATGTGCTTCGCAGATGTTTTCTTACTGAAGCGGCTTAGAATGCTCCATAAAAGGTTCCAGTTAGAATGTCATTTATAGCCCTATTTCCACAGGAGAAGTTGCACAGAGAACTTTTTATTTCATAGTTCTTAATACACTGGTGTTTTAAAATGCTAATTTACTAAACACACACACACACAGACACATATATACTGTATA